CATGCTTGCCTTTAGGAGAGAGGTGAAGCCCATCCCACCTTATGCTCGCTGGAGGTGCCGCTCTGGGCAGCTACCTCACACCTTCCTTACACGAACGCCGGTGCAAACGTCAGTGTGCCCTTACAGAGCACGCCTGTTTGCGCGCACTGTTCACGCACGGCTCGGGAGCGTGGCTCCCTGTTGGGCGAGCTAAGAGGGCTCTGACGGGCTTCCCCTCTGGACCCGCCTCAGCTGCGCTGTCCCCTCTGCCTCACTTACCTTAGGGGGAATCAGCTGTTGCTGCCCCTGCCACTGTCTCCTCCGCAGCTGCTGCCTTTGCCACCGAAGTAAGGGGGTACACATGTGGCACATGTGTGCCCTGCTCCCTGTGCTCCTGCTCCCCAACTGAGCTGGAGTCGAAGCGGATCCGCTTCGACTCGAAGCGGACAGCAAATTGAAGTGGGACCCGGTTTAATATTCGACATGGCTGTCGAATCAAATATTACCACAGCCCTGCTAAATAGTGCTAGACTGTGTGTGTATGTGGGGTGGGGGGTGGCTTAAAGTGGAGAGGAAGATTATTGCAAAGCTGTTCCACCTATCCCTTGGTCAGTCCTACTCCAGGTCCTGTCACATTTTCAGTTATTGGGTTTGAGGGATTACAAGGGATTCCTTGGTATGCCCCAGTAAGGGAAAGATGAGGTTATAATTCCCTCCTATATATATGGTCTCTTGATGTAGTGTACTGGGAAAGCCAGTAGGCATCCTTCTCTCTCTTCCAGCAGTAGATAAACGTTTTCTCTGCAGGAAGCAGAGATTCCATGTACCTTGGTTGCTTGTTTCCCATTTGCTTGCCAACACAAAACAGCATCTGTTTAGCTCATAGAAAATGAGATATTTCCAACAATAAAGATGAGTCTAAAATCACCTGTTTGAGGTATGGCCAAAATATTTCTTTAAAAAAACCCCAAAACACTAAATCCACAATTTATTTTTCATTACTCATTCTCATCTCACTTCTGTTTTGAGGAAAACTAGGATTAATGGTCACAAACTCCTGGAAAACCGTTTCAGGCTCAACATTAGGAAAAACTGCTTCACAACTAGGGTGTCCAGACTGGAATAAGCTCCCTCCAGAGATGGTGCAATCACCTACCTGGGAAATCCTCAAGAGGAGACTAGACAGTCACCTTGCTGGGGTCACCTGACCCCAGTTGTCTTTCCTGCTTGGTGCAGGGGGCTGGACCCAATGATATTCTGTGGTCCCTTCCAGTCTTACAATCTGTGCATCTATGAATCTGTCTATGGTCTAATTTATTGTCTTTGCAAAATGGACTAATATGATTTTCCAAGTTGTCCCACTGTTTCTTGAAAAGCAAAGAAGTCAGAAAGGGTTCTGTAACCTTGGAATACACAGTGGTCCAAAAACATTCAGCTACTATGATGCTGAATACAGTATTCTTTATCTAGATAGAAGCCTGATGGATATTAACCTGGAAACTGTCTTTTCTCTTTTATATAAAACTCTTGTATAATTAAATCCACAGTTGCAGAAGACTGTTTTCCATGGGTTATTACATCAATACAGTCTTTGGGCCCACTTGTAGTTAATATCGTAAACCAACATTTGAATTTTCAAATTAGCATATAGATGAGGCAAACTGTTATTTATCTAACTGCTGATTTGCACATGCAAATGCAGGACTTTTTGTTACTATGGAACATATATATGATGCTCCAAATTATGTTAAAAATGCCAGTCAAGAAAGAGTCCTTGCTCTGAACAGTTTACTGTCTATAAGGAATAGCTGGCACAAAACAGACCAAGGGAAGAGTCTGTTATGTGAAAGTTGTCATCTTACAACTTTCATCTTGACTGATTAGATTTTCTCTTGAGGTGCATATGTGCATATGTCTGATATGAGTGGCACGTTGTCCATGCGGGTATCATTTCCTGATGAAAGCTGCAGGTCTAAGAACTGGATTACTACTACTCATGGCAGGCATGCTGATGCATGTAATCCTTTGGCAGGTGTGGTCAGGTGATCTTGAAAAGTTCATGACAAGGTAATTTAATCTTTTCTGTTATGAAGTCTCTGCCTTAAAGGTATAACTATGTCATACATGTTATTGCATAGAATGCCATTAAGATTCTGTACAGATCTGAAGTCAAATTTTATTTCACCACATCTTTTAATTGAATCATCTGCCATAGGGATGCTACTTAACATGATATTTTATCTTCTAAACATCTGTCTCATTATTGGCAAATGTGTTTCTTTTCTACCCACTGTCACTGGCATGTTGCCTGTCCAGCGCTCCATCTTTCTATAATGTGTACTGTGGGGATGACATAAGATATTATTTTTATTAGGTGGAGCTGGTGGAAGAAACTCGACAGCTGGATTCAGTGTACTTTAGAAAGTTGCAGGCTTTGCATCAAGAGAGTGTTTCCAAGAAGGATGAGGTAAGAGAAGCACCTACTAGTAAAAACAAACTCATTTTCTATCAAAGAGGGTTAACGCTTTATGTATCAGGAATGAAAAGACTCACTGCAACCGATGTGGGGGACATTCATTCATTCATTTT